GTGTGTGTGTGTGTGTGTGTATGCGTGCGTGTGTGTGTGCGTGTGTGTGCGTGTGTGTGCGTGTGTGTGTGTGTGGAGCTGGGTGGCATTGCTGTTGACATGAATCAGTGTGAGAGAGATTTACAGCTGAAGGTGATCCCGCATGGCTGTCCGTCCAATCTGTTTCCTTGGTAACCGTTGCATTTCGGAAGCCGTCGCAGAATGAGAAGTATAAATCATCCGCTGCTCGGATATGGCCCTAAAGAGTGGGAACAAGATATTATTTACGAGGTTGGGCAGCATGCACGCGGCACACATGAGGAATAATTCAAGCCATGAAAGTCTGAAGATTGGCGTCTCAGATGCAGAATGAGGCTGAGAGAGAGCCTGAGATCTACACTGATGGCTTCAGAGGTGGAACTAGAGGATGTTTATACTGTATGTCAACTGTATCAATACTGTACCATTATTATAATTAGATCTTTGTTTTAATCAAACACCTAAATTTCTTGTTTTGCAGATAAATTCTATTGTAAAAGTGATCTTATAAGACACAAGTGAGGTGTTTTATTGTGGTGCCAAAGTGCCCTTTGGGGCGTCTTCAGTGGGTTTCATTGTGTTTTATCACTCTGCTGTCAGTTCTGGGGTACATCTCACAGTGTTATGGTTGAAAAGCATTTATTTTGGGCATTCCCTTGGCCTAAAGAAATCCCGATGTCCAAGGTTGCTTGGTTGCATGTCAACCTCTTTGCTTTCTCGCTGTGTTTCCTCTCCGTCTTCTGTCTCTTCTGTTAAAGTTACTCAGATGAACTTTTAACATGAAACCGTCTCAATTCAAAGGTGCAGTTTGTAGGATTTGGTAGAATCTAGCGGTGAGGTTGCAGATTGCAACCAGCTGAAACCAAGCGTGTAGAAGAACTACGGTGGCCCACGCACAAATGCAAAAAAACGCGAATGACCTTATCTGGAGCCAGAGTTCAGTTTGTCCATTCTGGGCTACTGTAGAAACATGGCTGGTGCAAATCAGGTGAAATCATGCATACCATCCATGAATACCAACATGTTTGGTCTGTTTAAGAAATATCAGAAATATGAACATTTACAATACTTTGACTTTTACAATAATCTTTAAATTTAAATAATAACAAAATGTGAGTAATAAGTAAAACTGCTGCTTAGTTAACACCTGCATTGTTAACCAATAATCAGAAATGCATAATGGACCTGAAAGAGGAGGAGTTAAGCCATAGACTAGCCCATAGAAGAGGGATAAAAATAAACTGGAAAATATATCTTAAATATACACAATACAATGCTTGTACTATGCATGTCTATCAAGTTTATCTCAGAGCTTGAGAATGTTGTGAAAAAGACAATAAGTGCAGAAGATGTGCCTCTGCTGTCGGGTGAGGGTGATAAATCAACAACATGCATTTATTGGCTGGTTTTCTGAGCAGAAGTGTTCATTGTGTTCAGATAAATCCTACAGAGCTGGAATGTTTCACAGCATTTCATTTTTCAGCAAAAACATGACGACAAGCTATAAATCAAACATGTGAATGTCGCTTACTGGAAATATAAAGTCTCCTGAGAAAGCAGTCAGTTCATGAGCTCCTGTGTGAAACATTTAAATACAACAGCGTACCGATGTAGAGTACAACCCTTTCATTGCTGTAATCGTATTGCGTTCATATGCCATACGAGCTTTAACATGCATTTGATCGCATTAGCGTCGTGCACACAGTCTAATAGTGTTACGCCTCGCCTCATATTCTGTCCGTCTGTAACGCTTGTGTCCTGCAGATGGCGCTCCGCTGAGTGGGCTGTCCTGGTCGTCGTCCCTGGCCGTGGTGGCCATCTCCCTCTCGGGCCTCTTCACCTTCGTCTTCCTCATGCTGGCCTGCCTCTGCTGCAAGAAAAGCAAAACCGGCTTCAAGGTGGGGCTCTCCTCTTTAACCGAACACCATTTCTCCTCGACTTCCACGTGAAACATGAAAGAAATATGAGGCATGAAGATGAACACAGGCACACTCATTAAAGCATATGAAGATTTTATGGAGCCTGGCACAGATATACCTGCACTCTGACTCTTTGCTCGCATGCACATTATTGCAAATGGCCTGAACACAAAACCTTCCACTCAGCTTCTCATTAGACCTCCATTGTATTCAGTACACAAGGTCTCCAGCTTTTTGTACTTAGAACACGTTGATGGGAAGAAGACAGAACAGCAAACAAAGGTAGTGGAGGCTGTGTTTATGTAGCGACGGGAGGCCTGCAGCTTTTTTCAGGTCCATCTTGTGTCATTGATGTAGACCCCAATTCTTAGCGGCAGCAGAAACGGGGTCACAGCAACGCAGTTTCCCTCAAAACGTAAATGAGAGGACAGTTTAGTTGTGTGGAAACGTAGTTTTGTAGGAGACAGAGTTGCATGCTGATGTTTAACAGGTATCACGGTACAAAGACTGAAGATAACTTGTGCACAGCAGGGCCTTTACTGTATAATGTGGTGAGCTGGAGCGTTGATTTCTTTTGGTTTACCAGGTATAATGTTTACCATGTTCACCGTCTTAGGTTAGCATGTTAGCATTAGCTGATTAGCAATAAACTCAAAGTGCAGCACGAGGCTGATGGGAATGTCACGTTTTGTGAGAATTTAGTTATAAACCAAAGTATTAGACAAATTAAAATATTGGCCTGCTGCTGCTGCTGGATGAAACATTCATGGATGAAGTGATTCCAGTTCATCCTCTGGTGATCATAAATGATTCCAGTTCATCCTCTGGTGACCATGAATGATTCCAGTTCATCCTCTGGTGACCATGAATGTTTGGACCAAAGTGACTGTGTTTCCAGCTTTTTTAATGTGAGGATTCTCAGCTTTATATCATTGCAAATTGAATATCTTTTGGGTTTTTGGATATTTAAAGAAGTGACCTTAGGCTGTGGAAACATGAGATCAAATTAAATTCCATTAAAAATAATGAACCGATGAATCAAGACTAGAAATAATTGGTTACAGCCCGTCTTTCATACATACTTTTTTAAAATCTTTTCTCTTACACGAGTCCTTACTGTGATTCATATTCCCGCACGACACTTGAAACTGTCAACTCAACATGATTTATTCTTCAGCTACTATTTTATGTTACAACCTTATTTAAGCTATTGGCTGTTAGATCCGGGTGATAAGCCCCAATACAAGACTATACAGCTCTCCGTTTAAAGGGTCCGAACCTTTCTGCCTTCTACTTAAGGCCGCTCCGCTGGGATCTCAACTCTACTCGACCTGTAATTCAGGTGGATTTCAAGGAAATTGTGGTTTATGCTGCTGTGACAAGAGAAGCACATCATCTAAGACTCCACTCAGAGACATGTGAGATGGTTTCAGTAATGAGGTATGTTGGCCTTCGGGTACATCTCTCAATATCTCTCCACTTTGAATGTCTTAGGAAGCACAGAGCTGCAGTGTCTGCAGCCATGTTACGTAACATCCTGTCCTTTCTTGAACACTGTGTGTGTGTTCATAAGTGTGCATCCAGAGTCGTGTTCCTTGCACACAGCCTAATGAAGATATACAGTGTGAATGATGTGCTTCGTGTCTGGTTTGTGTCGTCGGCGGGTTGGACCACCCGGCTCGGACCTGTCGGGGTGTGTCCGAGGAAGGGGCCAGGGTGGGAGGAGGGGGAGGAGAAAGGGCGTGAGGAAGGGCATACCCATGAGGCCACAGTGCATCCGGCCTCAGGGCCCCATCTGGAACTAGACACAGCCTCTCCCAGAGCAGGAAGAGGGAATTTTAAGAAAAAAAATAAACTGGAAGAGGAGATGAGAGAGAAAAGCTCTCTGTGTTTTACAGACAGGAAAGATGAGGAACTTCCTCCGACAATCCTCTCGACTGTAATGGTAAGGGGCTAGTTTGGGGTTTGGACTTGGTTTTAGGGTTGAAACTCTAAAGTTTGAAACAAATGTTTCATTGTATAGAAATAAAGGGACCTGCCAAGTCTGCAGATTCTTGCCTTATGACAAATTATTAACTTAACAAATTGATATTTCTTCTCTTCATAATTTGTACGATTCCGGGGCAACAGACTTAAACAAACCTCAGATCAGGTTAGAGACCCTCAATAATTAATACAAGAGTGTACATGAGCACAACAGCAACATTTAGGTCAACAATTAGTTGTTTTGCAGAATCATATTCAGTTGTTAAACAACTTAAGATCACTCATTCTGCACACGCCCCTTAATCTTGATATACAAATTGAAAAATGAGTGAACGTATACCTCCGACTGTACAGGGCTCAAATACAGAGCATGCAGCAGTTTAATGGTTCATGTTCAGGTTAAGACCGTAGTGATGAAGATGAAGGTCAGGAATGAAAGCAGTCAGTGAACAGTCCTCACAAGTATAGCGTTAACCACAAATATGTGTGTGTTGTCATGGTTTTGTGGGGAGGGGGACTGCCCTGCAGATGTTCTTTGGCTTTTGGGAGAGAGAGAGAGAGAGAGAGAGAGAAGAAGAGAAGGAGTGATGTCACATGTATAGTATGTGAACACCCTCTTCCTCCCCCTCCTCGTCTTCCTCCCACTTGTATTTTTCTCCTCACATTTTTGTGGGGGGCTCAGTTTCTCTCCTCTCACTCATGAGACGACCTCAGGTTCGGTCTGGCCTGTGAACTCGGAGACGGTGCTCCTCCTCCTTCCTCTCCCCAGCGTCTCCTCTTCTCTCCCTCCGTCCCTCCGTCCCTCCGTCCTCAGCAGTCTCGGGGACAGTCAGCTCTTCCTCCTCTTCCTCCTCTCTGGACTCAACAATGACACTCTCTCTGCAGAATGATGATGCCCTTTTTCCAGCAGCCGCTCCTCCCGGCACCGCCAAGCTCCTGCTGCCCTGCATCCATCACACAAATGGGAACCTTG